AATGAGGCCAAAGACAAATCCTGTTTAGGACCTCAATAACTTTAAATGGTCCTAGACCTAAAACACTCCAATGAACTGCCCCTGTGGTAGACTGGTGACCTGTCCAGGGTGTACCCCGCCCAATGTCGGCTGGGATTAGCTCCAGCCCCCCCGCAACCCTATTTATGAATAATCGGTATAGGTGATGGATAAAGAAGCAGGACTTTCGGCAGTTTATTATGGAAGGACAAAACAAAATACAATATGATGGGTTGACCTTAGAAAAGGTACCTTTTTTACTGTGTGAGCTTGTAGGAAGTGTGGTTAGTGCATACTGGTCTGATGTTGGCATGAATGAATGAATTTCCTTTTGCCCAGAATATAATGAGCGTCTGTGTGTGCACTACAAGCAGGCTCACAGAGTGCCTGGCACCTGTGAATAAAGGAACCTGGACTATCCTTAAGAGTAAAATGGAGACTAAACTCAGAAATGATATGTTTTTTGTTGATTTTCACTGCTACATGTTCTGTTTCTTCCTCTAATGGAATTTCACTGTAATGTAATGAAAATACAGGGATTCTTTTCTTTTGCCTTGTTTTCTTACAATTTGCATGATGATTTTTGTGTTTTTGTCCATGGGGATGCAACAGTATTGTTGAAGGCAGTACTGCAAACAATGAGCCAAATCTTATTACAGGGACTGAGAGAACTTTGCTAAGAGAGGTTTAATACACAAACATGGCGATAAAGCATTCTCACATATTGCAACTTTAGATAATCAAAAGTATTAGTTAGCTGTCATATGTTTCATGTAGTTCCTCATGACTACTGACAGATCTACAGTAAAGCCACATTCATGTCAGGTATCATATTTACAAATTTCTTAAAAAATGTTCATATCAACTTTCAGATCTTTTGAATACTGTGATACACAGTTTTTGACCTGGCATTACTAATAATGAAGTGCCTAAAAACCAAACATGGATGCCCCACATCAACCAAAGACTGCTGATTAATGTAATTCATGGATATGATGTTATGGTGGTGCTGTGCCTGGCTGCATACATTTGCATATTAATCAGGCAAAACAGATGGATGTTGACAAATGATGGAAGATTTCACCTGGATAAATAAAGGTTTAAAAAAATTAAATGAATAGTTCAATTTTTCAAACCTGGCTGGTATCAGAAAGTGTTTATCAAAATGCTTCATTTTTAATTTGGCCTGTGCTCCACCAACTAACCTGATCCCATCTTTAACTGAAGACTGAAGACTGTGGTCTGTGGCTTCACAG